GCCCAGTAGATGGCGTTGGTGAGCAGTCGCTGAAATGCTGGACTTTCAAAATCGGAAGGGCTGCCCAGCGAGGTGTAGAAGATGCGCCCGCCGTGATAGTCGTTGGTCCAGGCGATCACTTCGTCGGTATCGGTCCCTTTGATCTTTCCGCGTAACAGTGCGGTGGCGGTGTCGGCCAAATCGCGGCTCTTGTATAAGTGCGAGGTCAGCGGGAACGGCTCTTCGGGAAAGCCCTTCAGGATCGGATGATCCTCGGCGCCTTCAATCACACGAACCATGGTCGGCGGATCGTTCGGAGGTTTGTTGCCGTAGTGGTTCTGATAGTCGCCGCCAAGGACTTCGATATCGAACTTCACCCAGTCGGCATGACCAGGCTCGGGTGGTCGCTTGCGGTCGAAGGGATGACTGGCTGTGCGGATTCCCACCAGCGGCTTGCCGGCGTCGAGATACTTGCGGAGTCGGTCGAGCTGCTCGGTCTTCGGCGTTCTGCGTCGAACACTCAGTACCACCAGGTCGGCGTCGTCTAGAACTTCCAGGCCTGGGAAGTCGTCTGGGTCTTCGGGATTCACATGGACAAACGTGGTGCGGACTCCAAGAGGTGCAAGTTGTTGCTCGGCGAAAGCCGGCAGGGTTTCCTTCGTGTTGTATTCTTGTTCGCCGATGATGAACACAATGTGCGGCGGATCCGTGTCTCCGGCGATATCGTTGCCGCAGACGGTTGCGCAAACGTGCGCTTCGGTATGAGCGATCACCAGTTCGGTACCCCGACGGTGCGAGGTGAAGGGAGCCTGCCGCGAGTTGTACATCGAGTCGGTCAGATCGCGAGCAAGCACGACTTGCTTACCGCCGTCGACCATGCGTCGCAGCCCGAAGGGACGGCCCAGCACACACATATTGGTGTGGACGCCCATCACGACCACATTCTTGATGCCGCGGTCTTCGAGCAGATTCCAGATCTCACGCCCCGAGTCACTGATCGCATCGCTGGGGGCGATCTGAATGCTGTCGATCTGATGGCTCCAGGGCGAACGTTGCTTACACTGAGGTTGGCAGTCGCAGCCACCGTCGGAATCATCAATCGGCAGTTTCGGTTCGCCTGGTAATTGTCGACACCACTGGTCGATTGCCTCCGGTGCGTTCGATGCCTGCGGGGCATTCATGGCCAGTTGGCGTCCAGGGGTGTCGCGGTAGGTATCCATGCAACTGCTGGGGGCATGGATGATGAACACGCCCTTCTCCCGCGCGGCTGACACCACGTCGTTCATCTTGGGGGCCAACTCGGCCACTCGCTCGGTTGCCCCGCGGCACCAGTGCTCGTTCCACATGTCGCAGATGATGATCGCCGTTTCCGAGGGGGTCCACGAGATGGACTTCTCGGTGATCACGGTCTCACCGGAATCTGAGTCGGCAGGGTGGCGAGACCTGGCGAGCATTTCAAGCATTCCTGACTCTGAAGAGTCGGCTAACTCGCCGGCCGTGGCGAATAAATTGCCACTAGCAACGAACAGGCTAAGGCCGAGGGCAATTAGGAAGATTCGAAACAGTGAGCGATCCACGGTCATGCGATGATTTCCTGGAGAATCTAATGCGGTGGGAAGCCAAGTGGGCACTCGCGATCACGCTGGCGAATGCCATGGGCATAGGTTGGATGGTGCGATCTCGATTATAGCCAAGAATTCACCGCAGTTCTGGTCGCGTGTGATGAATTGAAGCTCCTGGCAGGACCGCCACAGAGGCAGATTGCGGGCCGGAATAACGGGCATTTTCGCTTTTTGGCCGTTTACTTTTATTGGCGTTGCCGGTTCGTTTACAATGTCATTCCACCTACCTGCTGATCTCTAGATCCTTCCCAGCTTTGTAACCGACGAGGAGTGCGGTGTGAGCAATCACCATCCGAATCGAAGACAGTTTCTTGGGCAATCGATGGGCACGCTGGCCGCGGGCATGGCAGCCCCCTATGTGTTCACCTCCGATGCCGAAGCCCGCATGCTGCGGCGTGATAAGAAAGACGGTTTCCGTATCGGGGCCATCGGCATGCGGTATCAAGGTTCCGTGATCGCCGAGAAGGCCGTCGAGCACGGTGACGTTGTCGCCATTTGCGATGTCGATCGGGAAATCGCCGAGAAGGCCCGGGAAGACTTTGGCGGGAAGGCCGACCTGTACGAAGATTATCGCAAGATGCTCGATCGGCAGGATATCGATGTCATCACCATCGGTTCGCCGGACCATTGGCACACCAAGATGCTCATCGATGCCTGCCGGGCAGGGAAGGATGTCTATTGCGAGAAGCCGCTCACACTCACCATCGACGAAGGTAAGTTGATCCAACAGGTCGTAAATGAAACAGGTGCCGTGGTCCAAGTAGGCACCTGGCAGCGGAGCGACTCGCGGCACCGTCTGGCTTGTGAGCTGGTTAACGCGGGCCGGATCGGCAAGCTCCAAAAGATCAGCGTTGTTCTGGGGAAGAATAAGACGGGCGGACCATTCCAGCCGCAGGATCCGCCAGCGCATTTGAATTGGAACTTGTGGCAGGGCCAGACCCCCGACGTGGCCTACATTCCCGAGCGTTGCCATTACACGTTCCGCTGGTGGTACGAATATTCCGGCGGTCAGGTGACTGACTGGGGCGCACACCATTTGGATATTGCCCAATGGGGTGGCGGACATCAATACACTGGGCCTACCGAGATCGACGGCAAGGCGGTCTTCCCTGATGTGGAGAACGGCTACAACGTGGCGCTGGATTACTCGGCAACCTTCACCTATCCCGACGGTGTGGTGATGGAACTGGCCGATCACGGTCGCAATGGGGTGATGTTCGAGGGCGACGAAGGTCGGGTGTTTGTGAACCGCGGCACGGTCGCGGGCACCCCGGTCGATCAACTTGCCGAGTACCCGCTGGAACGAGAAGACTTCGCGCTGTACGCACACGACAATCTCACTCGCCCACCACGTGCAGGTAAGCTAGACGCCATCATCAACCACATGGGCAACTTCTTCGATTGCGTCCGCTCGCGCGAGCAACCCCTCTCGAACGTTAGTAGCCAGCATCGCTCGGTGAGTGTGTGCCACCTGGCGAACATCTCGATGCGGCTGGGGCGGAAACTGCAATGGGATCCGGAGAAAGAACAGTTCGTCGGCGACGATGAGGCCAACACTTGGCTTTCGCGTGACCAGCGGGAAGGTTTCGAAACCGTCTAACTTGGCTTTCACTACTCCGGAGCCCCAGGAATTTCATCCATGAGCACTGCGGCCAGCTTGATCACAGAGGCCCATCGGCAGCAGTATCGCGACGAGGGGTACTTCGTGCTTGAACGGGTTGTGCCCGAGGAGCATATGGAGATTGTCCGGGGCGCATGCGATCACTTGATCGACCTAATGCATCAAGAGATGGACCGCCTGGGCACCGATCACATTCATATCAGTCATCGCAATAAGCGGTATCACATCGCCAAGCGATATGCGGAGGCCCCACGGCTCGGTGAGTACGTTTTCAGTGACTTGATGGCGGACATTTGCAAGGCCACCATCGGCGATACGGCCTACCTGTTCTACGACCAATATGTGGTGAAGGCTGCCGAAAAGGGCACTTCGTTCTCTTGGCATCAGGATTCTGGGTACCTCGGTTTCCCTCACGAGCCGTACGTCACCGTGTGGATGGCGGTGGATGACATGACGCTGGAGAATGGGACAACCTATGTGATGCCCTATTCGCAGATCGGCATTCGCACGCTGGTTGAACACATCCGCAACCCCGACACGGGCGATAAGACGGGGTACTTCGGCAAGGAACAAGGAGTGCCCGCGATAGTGCCGGCTGGGAGTGTGGTAGTTTTCAGTTCACTCACGTTCCACCGTAGCGGACAGAACACCACCGACCGCATGCGAAGGGCCTACGTCACTCAATACTCGCCCCAGCCCATAATCAAACCCGATGGCAGTGGGCCGATGCACTTGGCTGTTCCGTTTCTCAAGGACGGCAAAGTCGTGGCATCCGCAAATTCGTCTGATTAATGTGGAATCGACACTCAGAAATACTTCATCAGCGAGGCCTGCATGTCTTTAGTTGAGCACAAGACCGACCGTCGCACTTTTTGTCGCGGTGTCGTCGCAGCGGTAGCTGGAACTTCTCTAGCTTCAAGTCTCGCCTCTGCCAAAGACGACAAGTTCCAGTTGAACTACATTCTGGCCTCATGCATGTATGGAACGACGCCCCTGGCGGAGATTCTGCCGGAAGTTCAGAAGGTGGGGGCCGACTCGATTGATATCTGGCCGCTTCGTCACGGCAACCAACGCGAGCAGATGGACGAGATCGGTCACGATGCCTTCGCGGAACAGCTTGCCAGCCGGGATCTGACATTAGGAATGCTTACTCGGTACGACCTGGGGCCGTGGAAGTTGCAGGAAGAACTCCCGGTAGCCAAGCGATTCAGCACCAAGATCATTATCTGCGGTAGTGGGGGCCCCAAAGGATTGAGCGGGTCGGAACTGAAGAATGCCGTGGGTGAGTTCGTTGAGAAACTGAAGCCCCAGATGGACGCCGCCGCCGAGGCGGGGGTAACGATCGGCATCGAGAATCACGCCAACGCGTTGATCGACTCTCCAGATTCGATTCGCTATTTCGCAGAACTGGCCCCCGAGGGGAACGTTGGCATTGCCCTGGCACCCTATCATCTGCCCCAAGACCCGCAGTTGCTGGCGGGGTTGATTCGCGACTTGGATCGCAAGCTGGCTCACTTCTATGCCTGGGAGCACGGTATGGGCTGCATGACCAAGTTGCCCAAGGAGCAGGAACTGCTGCAAATGCCGGGGCGCGGCTCGCTCGACTTCGCCCCGCTACTGGCCGCGTTGAAGTCGATCAACTACCAGGGTTGGACCGAGGTGTTCATGCACCCGGTGCCCCGCGGAATTCCAATTCTTGAGCCCACTTCTGCGGTGACCGAAGAGATCAACCGCTCGCGACGTTATCTGGAAGAAAAGTGCTCGACGATCTGAGCAGACTAAAGCGTCGTTCCACAGAACTTACAGAACGTCGCGTCGATGTCGTGCCCCTGTCGTCCGCAGCCGGGACAAGCTTTGGTGTTGAAACCTCGTTGCCGCGCGATCTCGGCTGAGAAGATACCCGTCGGCACAATGATGATGCTGTAACCCACGATCATCGCGACGGCGGCCAGCGCCTGACCGGCGGGCGTTTGTGGGTGGATATCGCCGTAGCCCACGGTCGTCATGGTGACGACAGCCCAATAAATTCCTCGCGGGATGTTATCGAACCCGTGTTCTTCACCTTCGATGAGATACATCATCGAGCCCATGATTAGCGTGAGCGAGGCGATGGTGAACAAAAACACGGTGATCTTAGCGCGAGTTGCTCGGATCGTGTGCAGCAGGGCTTCGGCTTCGTTGAGATGGCGAGCCAACTTGAATACCCGAAATATGCGAAGCAGCCGCAAGGTTCTAACAACCAACAGCGACTGTGAGCCGGGAATCACCAAGCTCAAATAAGTCGGAAGCGTGGCCACGAGATCGACCAGGCCAAAGAAACTCGTGGCATATTTCCGCGGATGGTGGACGCAAAGCAACCGCAGGATGTACTCCACCGTGAATAGCAGCGTAAAAAACCACTCAGTGGCCGTGAGCCAAATGCCGTAACGTTCGCGGATGTCTGAAACGCTTTCTAAAATCACCGCTGTTACGCTGACGACAATCGCAATCAGCAGCACGACATCGAAAGCCTTCCCGGCGGGGGTGTCAGCCTCGAAGATGATCGTGTGCAGCCGCTCTCTCCAGGGGGCAAAATTCGGCGGGACGTCGTTGGCCGGTTGTGAGCCTTGTAAGGCCATATCGGGATCGCGTGGTTGGTGTCGAGGGTTGCCGGCGGGTGTCCGCCAGCGGGAACGGAGGAAGCTCCTTCCCCGTGGCAGCTTGGGCAAGATACTACCATTTACCATACCTCAGGTGGAGATCAGTGGGCGATAGCTTCCTACGCGCAGAAAAAAACGCGGCGCCGCTGAGACCCATCTTGGCTCAACGGCGCTCGCGCAGGGCATTGTCAGATTGTTGTGTGATGTGCTTTACAGCACGCCTGCATTCCGGCCAGCCTGTTCGAGGCAGCGGAGTGCTTCGACCAGTTGTTCCCGAGTGTGGTTCGCCGTGAGGCTGATTCGCAGCCGTTCACTGCCTTTGGCAACCGCCGGGAAGATCACCGAATTGATGCAGATGTTGTTGCGGTGCAGCTCCAGGGTCATTTGACGCATGGCGTCCATCGAGCCGATGATCACCGGGATGATCGGGCTTGGCTCGTCGTTCACACGGAAACCCATCCGCTTGAGTTCGCAGTGCATGAAGCGGCAGTTTTCCCACAACTTTTCACATCGTTCAGGCTCGTCTTGCATCACATCCACCGCGGCACTCGCGGCGGCCATCACCGGGGGCGAAGGGGCCGTCGAGAACATTGCCGAACGGGCGAAGTAGCGAATGTAGGTGACCAGGTCTTGCTTACCGGCGACGAAACCGCCACAGCAGCCGATGGCTTTAGATAGCGTTCCGACGATCAGGTCGATTTCGCCTTCCAGCCCGAAGTAGGCTGCCGCACCACCACCGGGCAGAACGCCCGTGGAGTGAGCTTCGTCGACTAGCAGCATCGCGTCGTGCTTCCGGCAAACTTTCAGAATTTCATCCACGGGTGCAATGTCGCCGTCCATGCTGTAGATGCCTTCGATGGCAACCAGCTTGGTGACATAGTTCTTGCAGCGGGACAACACGCGATCCAGGTGCTCGGCATCGCTATGCTTGAACACTTTGACGTTGGCGCCGGAAAGCTTGGCCCCATCGACCATGCTGGCGTGAGCGAGCCGGTCGACGATCACCACATCGTGTTTACCAACGACCGACGAGATGACACCAACGTTCGCCGAGTAACCGGTCGAGAAGACACAAGCGTCTTCGGTCTTCTTGAACTTTGCCAGTTTTGCTTCAAGTTCTTTGGTCACTGGGTAGGTGCCAACCAACAGCGGCGAGCTTCCCGACCCTACGCCAAATTTTTCTGCTGCATCGCGGGCCGCCTCGACGCACTTGGGGTGGGTCGAAAGTCCTAAGTAGTTGTTCGATGCCATCATGATCATCTGACGCTCGCCACCTTCCAGCGGGTAGGTGACCTTTACATTGGCGTCGGTCGCCTCGAGCAAAACGCGACCGTAAAGGTTATGACCTCGGCCGGCCAGTTCCTTGAGTCCCTCGGCAAACAACGCCGCGGTCTCACGAATGCCCAAACCTTGTTCGCGGGCATGTAAGATCTCTTGCAGCGAAGAGACTTTAGAAGGGGATTTGGCCCGGACAGTTGGGGTCACGGCGGTGGTCTTCGTGGCCACTACCGGCGGTTCTTGCGTGGCGTTGAACATTGGTTCGCTCCAGAAAATGCCCTGCGATTGAATCTTGTTACTGCGAGTCGGGTGGAGCGTCTTGTCCACCCATAATGCAAGGCGTGAAGCGACATGCTTTGTTACAACGCCAGGGAAATGCGGTCGTTGTCGTGAGACTGTGTCGGCAATTTAGCCTGTCAGTAACGAAGGAACTCGTAGAGAGACGGTGCCGCCATGCGCAAAGAAGTCCCTGATCAGGCGAATCGATCTCAGAGACCGTTATACACTTTCGGGCACTCTTTGCGCGGGGGGAATCCGTTTATTTTGTAAGGAATATAGTGGTTCTGGATCTGTAAAGTATTCCAGTCACACGGCTTGTGGGGCACCTGTGGTTGGTGTCGTACGGGCGGGGGAATTGAACGTAACGTCTTGCAGCGTAATGCGCCGACATAGCTATCGGTCCATTCGAAGAACGAATGACTCTTTCGATAGTCAAGGGCATTACTGATGAATACGACCACCACCTCCACCCCGGTAGATTTCACCAAATCGACTCTTAGCGAGACTGCTCGCGGAGTCCTACCTTCTTCTGGTCTAATGGCTTCAGCGACAGAAACCGAGGCCCCGCGCAAACAGACAGAACCGCGTACGAGCGCCGAGATACCTTCCCCGACGCCAACCAGGAGCACCATCTTCGTGGGGAACACGACCGTGGAAGAAGTTCGTACACGAAGAGACCGCAAGGCATTCGTCGAATTGCCCTGGAGAATCTACCAGAACGACCCCAATTGGGTTCCCCCACTACGCAGCGAGGTGAAGGCTTTCATCAACCCTCGCAAGCATCCCTTCTACCAACACGGTGAGGCGACCCAATTCATCGCCCGTCGCAATAACGAAGTGGTGGGTCGGATCCTGGTGAGTGACGACCCCAACTACAACGAGCAGTACGGAACCAATCTCGGCTGTTTTGGTATGTTCGAGTGCATCGATGATCAGCAGGTGGCCGACGAACTGCTCAATCGAGCTGCCGGATGGCTCAAGCAACGCGGCCGCACCCAAGTGCTGGGGCCCATCGACTACTCAACCAATTACCCGTGCGGATTGCTGATTGATGGGTTCGACACGCCCCCGCGGGTGATGATGAATCACCAACCGCCTTACTATCAGCGGCTGTTGGAGAACTGGGGGCTGCACAAGTCGAAGGACATGTACGCCTGGTGGTTCGACGATTCGAACGACATGCTCGACGTGTGGGGTGATCGAGCCGAGAAGCTGGCCGAACGCTTCGAGGTGAAGGTGCGGCACGCGGAAGTAAAGAACTTCCATGAAGAAGTTCGCGTGCTGAAGCAACTCTACAACGCTTGCTGGGAGAATCACTGGGGCATGGTCAAAATGACCGACACAGAGATTGATCATCTCGCCGCTCAGCTTCGGCAGATTGCCGTGCCCGAGATGATGCTGATCGCCGAGGTGAAAGGTGAGCCGGTCGGTATCTGCATAACGTTGCCCGATGTGAATGAAGCCATCGCGCCACTCGACGGCAATCTATTTAACTACGGCTTGCCAACCGGGCTATTCAAGCTACTTCGCAATATGCGTCGCATTAAGACGGCCCGAGTTGCAGTGCTCGGCGTACTCGAAGGCTACCGTCGCCGCGGCGTGGCCGAATTGATGATTTTGCGAACGCTCGACTACGGCAAGAACCAACTCGACTACACCGGTGCCGAGCTTGGCTGGACTCTGGAAGAGAACGAGATGGTAACTCGCACCGTGAAGCGAGTTGGTGGCGTTCCCTATAAAACTTATCGAGTCTTGGAAAAAGACTTGATATAACACTCTCAAGTGCAGTTGCATTGGTTGTGCGAACTCCAGCGTGTTCCCTACGGAGGTCTGTGAAGCATACCAATCGATCTTAGCTAGTCTAAGGTGTTGTCCGGGCTGTTTTCTGGATAACTGTGGGCCCTGCCAGTAGTATGGGGGCTCGGCCGTGGTTTTATTCACCACGCAAGACCAACTACAGATCTGGGTTTAGGGGCTTGTTGTGCTTCCCCGTTGGCGTCGCCGCGTTCTTGCATTCCGTCTGCTCGGGCTCGTTCCCTCAGCCCCCGTGGTGGTGGATGTAATCCGACAGGCTGCAGGACGGATGCGGGCCTATGATTTCTCTCGATCGCTCGAATCAACTCGAGACATTATCGAGATTCTGCGTGCAGAGAATGTTTCGATCGAGGGGATGCACGCCCTTGAGCTAGGCACAGGCTGGCATCCTGTGGTGCCGATTGTGTTGTATGGCCTCGGGAGCGAGCGACTCGTACTCACCGATGTCACTCCCCACGTCCGAAGAGCACAGGTTGCCGAATCGGTCGACTATTGTCTATCGCATGCACAGAAGTTTGCGGAAATCGCCGGGCGTTCTTCGAGCCAGAAAATGGAGCAGCGTTGGCGATCGCTGCTGCCCGTCGACAAATCGTGGCGCCAACGGTGGAACGATTTGGGGATCGAGTACGTGGCTCCGTACGATCTTTCAAAGGCCAACAAATATCCCGCGAATTCGTTCGACGTGATCTATAGCCACTCCTGCATTGGTTTTATTCCAAGAGAAGACTTTGGGTCGGTCGTATCCGAGATGCATCGTCTGCTCCGGCCTGATGGCATTTCTTGCCACGTGGTTGATCTGACTGACGACCACGCCAACCTCGATGCCTCGATAGGACCCCTCGACTTCCTCAAGTACGACGAAGCGACTTGGCAACGGATCGGCAATTGTCGATTGCACTATCAGAATCGATTTCGTCCTCGAGACTATGTGCAATTCTTCGAGTCGCCGGCGTGGTGCGTGAAGTATGACCTAAATCCCGATCCAAACGTGATGGTAGACCGGACAGGCTTCGCAGAACAGTTTCAAGGTCTATCCGATGAAGAGCTTCAGTCTGAGCGTTTTACATTGATCGCGAGAAGTGGCGCAGCATGAAGGCGATCACTCTGATGTACCACGATATCGTGAGTAAAGAGTCGCAAGACTCCAGCGGCTTAAGGGGCACAGCGTCTGCGCGTTATAAAATCGACCCCACCACGTTCGAACAGCACATGCAAGAAGTTGAGTCGGTGGCAAAGGGGCGCGTAGCTACGGTCACGCAGCCCCAGGGAAACGATGGTTTACCTCCGGTGTATCTGACCTTTGATGATGGTGGCACTACCGCGCAAACGGTCGTGATGGATGTCATGGAACACTTCGGCTGGAAGGCACACTTTTTCATTCACACAGACTACATTGGGCTGCCGGGGTTCATGGATGGTGAAGCCATTCGAGAACTGCACCGCCAGGGACATGTCATTGGGTCGCACATGCGCCAGCATCCGTTCAACGGGCTTCCGTCGAGCCTGGACGAACTTATTGAAGACTGGCGGCAGAGCCTGAATGAGTTGTCTAGTGTGATCGGAGACCATGTGATCACGGGCTCAGTCCCAGGGGGGCTGCTTACGAAAGAAATGGTTCAAGCGGCCCGTCAAGCCGGCATTGAAGAGTTAATGACCTCTGAGCCAACTCACCGGGCTTGGGTGCAGGAAGGGGTGAACTGCTGGGGGAGATTTGCCATCCGCCGCACAACCCCACTGAACCGGGTGAGACGTTTTCTAAGAGGAGGCCTGCGGGCCCGCATTGTGGAGCAGGCGCTTTGGAGAGCAAAGAAACTTGGGAGAATGCGAAGATGTCGAGCCGCCTTGGCTCAGAATGAGTCTAGCCTTGGTGGAAACACAGCTTCGGACTCCCTACAAAGCGATCACCAAACTTGCACATCCAAAGTTCGACGCGCTGAAGCAGGAAATTCCAACCCTTAATCACAGTCTTCATTCACCCACAAAAAAACGCCCGCTGCCAGTTAACGACAACGAGCGATTGAAAGTGGAGCGGAAGGGAGTCGAACCCTCGACCTCTGCATTGCGAACGCAGCGCTCTCCCAACTGAGCTACCGCCCCGGCGTTGGACTTGCGGCCTGGGGCCGTCTGGTCCGGTGGATGACCGGTTGATTGTAAAGGAGTTGGCGGAACGGGGGAAGTGGTGTTATCGACTGTGGCAAGCGGGTCTGGCCAAAGAAAAACGGGGGAGCGTTGCTGGAACGCATCCCCCGGTTTTCACGGTATATTTTCTCGGATCGGGCGGCTTATTCGGCCAACTGCTTCTCGATCACTTCAATGACTTCCTTCGAGTCGGGCTTGGTGCGAGGCTCGAAGCGGGCGACGACCTTACCATCTTTGTCGAGCACGAACTTTTCGAAGTTCCAACGGATCGGCTCGGCGTCATCGTCGGTCAGCACGGCGTACAGCTCGCACTGGTCTTTGCCCTTGACTACTACCTTCGAGAACATGTCGAACTCAACGCCATAATTCTCTGTGCAGAAATTGGAGATCTCCAGGTCGGTGCCAGGCTCTTGCTTGCCAAACTCATTGGCCGGGAAACCCAGGATGGCCAGCCCCTTGTCTGAGTATTTCTCGTGCAAGGTTTGCAGTTGCTCGTACTGCGGGGTCAGCCCGCACTTGCTGGCGACGTTGACGATCATCACAACTTTGCCGTGATACTTCGACAGGTCGACGTCTTCACCCTTGAGGCTCTTCATTGTGAAGGTAAGCACGTCTTGCGATTCTTTCTCCGCGGCGCGGACATGGGTGGTCAGCAAAACCATGGCAACCGTTAGCAAGGTACCGATAAACTTCATCTCTGACTCCTCAGAAAAAGTGATGGAGGGATTTGTGGTTGGGTCGTTTTGGAAACGAACCTGGGTTGGGTTCAAATCGGGAGCACTCGGCCCGCTGGCTATGAGACTATCACAGGAAAAGTGGCCTCACAATTGTTAGCCGGCCGACTCTTCACATTGTATCCCCCTGGGAAGCGTGCGGGGGGAATTGGAGGGACATGCTTAGGCCAGGATGTCGTGTAGGACATGGCCCTTGACGTCGGTGAGACGCATGTCGCGGCCGCTGAAGCGGAAGGTGAGCCGCTCGTGGTCCATGCCAAGCAGGTGCAGCATGGTAGCATGCAGGTCGTG